AGGCCTGGCAATCTACTCCCCCACCAAAAAAGCAGCCACGGGAACCCCCTGCAGCCCAGCTCTCCTGGGACACATGGGAGTCAACAGCCTGTGTGCTCTTGCGCCCCACCCTCATGTGGAGCTTCTGTTCCAGCAGCGCAGGGGAGCGAAGGCAGGGTCCCCTTTGGACGCCTACAATTTTGACAGCTAAGAAAAGTCTCCAGACATGGTCAAAGGGTCCCTGGCAGGCAACATTGCCCCCAGGTTGAGGACCACTGTCTACGAACATTGTTTTGGTAACAAAAGGTTCCCCCTCTCCATAATGGAGGGACGGTGAGTGAACTGGTTACCAAACAGGGGGCATTGGAGACAGGACCTACAGGAGATCCAAAGGATCAGCCCGACCTGAATGGTTCAAACCTTGTCAGTTGATCCCTCCCATCCACGTTGGGCCTGATCTGGATTTCAACATCTTATGGATCTTTTCCTGCTTCTTCTCACTCGGCTCTAGCTCTGATGTATTTTGTCATTAGGAGTAACCCTCTTGGATTTTTGCTTCACGTGTTTCTGTTTTTCAGTATATGAAGCCCAGGATTGGTGAACCCACAGAGGTAGCACGTGGAATAAGGGTTCCTGTGGGGTACATTAAAGGGGAGATGAGATCAAGGAGTTCAAGAAGAAAGCGGATGTTTTGAACTGATGGTAGTAGTAATTGTACAATACTGCTTGATGTGAGTGGACTATGGAGCAATATGATATCTGTCATAAAGTTTGGGGGAATTTTTTTTATAAAGAAGGTAGACAGGGAATCCAGGACAGATAATCCCTTCAGGACCAGTAGTGAGAGTGGCGATACCGGGAGGGTGGAGGGAAGGTGGGGCAGAAAGGGGGAACCGATTACAAGGATCTACATATAACCTCCTCCCTGGGGGACGGACAACAGAAAAGTGGGTGAAGGGAGACGTCGAACAGTATAAGATATGACAAAATAATAACATAAATTATCAAGGGTTCATGAGGGAGGAGGGAGGAGGGAGCGGGGAGGGAGGGGGAAATGAGGAGCTGATGTCAAGGGCTCAAGTAGAAAGCAAATGTTTTGAGAATGATGATGGCAACAAATGTACAAATGTGCTTGGCACAATGGATGGATGGATGGATTGTGATAAGAGTTGTACGAGCCCCCAATAAAATGATTTTTTTTAAAAAGAAGAAGATAGAAGGTGCAGGGGGAAGGGGCGTAAAAGGAGTAGGGGAAGAGGAGGAGAGGGGAGGAGGGAGAGGGGGAAAGGAGGAGCGGGGAGGATAAAGAGGGGGAGGAGTATGCAGAAGGGGTGGAGGGAGGAGGAGGAGGATTTCATACTAAAGGTGCCAAAACATAGACAGGTCACTCAATGGATGACCCTGAAGTGGGCCAAAGCCAGCCAGGTTACTACGGTGACGGCCCAGATCTGAAAGTGACCAGAAGCTTATTTGATCCTAGCCCCTCTTCACCGTCACATTAGATTCTGCCCCACAAGAATGGCTGAGGCCCTGCCAGCCCACCCACAGGGCCTGGGAGGACGATGACGCGGGTGGGGTCTTACTTGATCGAGTTCATTCTTTGCAGATTGAAAACCACCAAGCTGAACCAGAAAGCCACGGTCCACATCAAAAGAGGAATCGACACACTTCAGGAAGAAACTAAGGACGGGTCGGTGGCTGTTGGGGGCCCCCCAGTTGGCTCTGAGTCACAGTGGCCCTGTGGACAATGGAAGGCAACCCTGCCGGGCCCTTCGCCACCCCCCAGCCATCGCCCATTGCTGTGGCCGCCGGGGCCACCCAGCTCATCGAGGGTCTTCTCCTTGGTGGGCCTTCTACTTTGCCCACAAGAAGAGCTTCTCCGGGGACCGGTCTCTTCTGATCCCAAGTCCAAAACATGTGACAGATATGCACGCATTAGAAACAAGAAACTAAAAAGACCAAGGAAGAAGGTGGGAGACATTGGGAATGTGGTGAAGGGGTGGCAAGAGTCAATCTCCAATGAGAAGTTAAAAACAGGAAGGAAAAAGCCGAACAAAATTGTGTGGGGAGGGGTGTGTGTGGGAGGGGGCCTTGGGGGTGGAGTCACAGAGTGAAATGACAATGTGGTGTGACTTTAAGCAGTTACACTCACTCACTCACTGCTGTTGAGCCCTTTTGACTCACAGAGGGTAGAACCGCCCCTGTGGGTTTCTGAGACTATAGATCTGTAGGGGAGTAGAAAGCCTCATCTTTCTCCCTCAGAGCAGCTGGTGGTTTTGAACTGCTGACCTTGTACTTAGAAGCCTGATGTGTAACCACTACACCACCAGGGCTTCTTTTAAGCAGTTATCAAACTCGCTGCCACCCAGTCAGTTCCGACTCACAGAAGGTAGAACTACTGCCCCTGTGGGTTTCTGAGACTGTAAATCTTAGGGGAGTAGAAAGCCTCCTCTTTCTCTCCTGAAAGTACCAGGTGGTTCTGAACGGCTGACCTGGCAGTTAACAGCCCAACGTGTAACTCACTACATCACCAAGACTCCTTTGGAGCCGTTAAAAAACAACCAAACAAAAAAACCAAACTCACTGCCATTGAGTCAATGGAGTCAATGCCGACTCACAGCGACCCTATAGGACAGGGTAGAACGGCCCCTGAGTTTCCCAGACAGTAACTCTTTACAGGAATAGAAAGTCCTGTCTGTCTCCCACAGAGTGACTGATGGTTTTGAACTATCAACCTTGCAGACCTAACCATTGTGCCACTCGGGCTCCCTCCGAGACGGTCAGGGGAGGATCAAACAGTGACGTGGTGGTGGCTGTTGTGAGCTGCTGGAGTCCATCCTGGCCCACGGCCATCCTGTGTGCGTGCAGAACAGAGCTGCCCCCCAGGGTTTTCAGCTCGCCAGGCCTTTCTTCTGAGGTACCTCGCTTAGGGTGGGTTTGAACCACCAACCTTCTGGCCACTCGGTGAATGTTTACCTGTTGGCAGCACCTGCATTTGCATGGAAGAGGACTTTGAACCCTGGAAATAATGAGAAAGACATTTCAGTTCTGTCATGAAAGGTACTTGCCTCGTTGCTGCTATGTAGTGAGGTGCTAATGGTTCTGACCCATAGCAACCTTATGCACAACAGAACGAAACCTGCCGTCCTGTGCCAACCTCATAAGGATTCCTATGCCTGAACTCATTGCTGCTGCCATGGTGTCAATCATGTTCTTGAGAGTCTTCCACTTTGGCGCTGCCCCTAGCATGATGTCCTTCTCCGGGGACTGGTCTCCTGACCCCATGCCCACATACTTGTAAGGCTCCGTTTCATTCATGCAAGAGTTTATACCTTAGACTGCTGAAGGACAAACCCGTGTGTCTGGGAAGAAGTACGGCCAGAGTGCTCCTTGGAGGCCAGGATGGCGAGACTCCGTCTTACATGCTTTGGACATGTTGCCAGGAGAGACCAGTCCCTGGGGAGGGAAATCGTGGGAAAGTGGAAGGGCAGCAAAAGAGAGGGACGCCCTCAAGAGCTGGATGGACAGTGGCTCCATGACTCGGCTCAGGCACGGGAACAAGAGTGAGGACGGGGCAGGACCATGCAGTGTTTCCTTCTCTTGTGCATGAGGTCTCCAGGGGTCGGAGCTGACCCGATGGCCCCTAACAACAACAACAGCATGCACCCAACAGAATCCTGTCTGCTGGAGTGCTGGGAGGTGAGCCCCCTGTCCCTCCCCCAGGTTGGAAGGGACTGGCGTCCACAGGGTCAGCCACAAGGCCTCCGAGCACAGGGACCATTGTGAAGACGGCACAGGACGGAGCAAGGTTTCCTTCTGTGTCTGAAAGGGTCCCCCTGACAGAAGCCCTGCTGGCATAGGGCCTATGCGTTAGCAGTTCGAAACCACTAGCTGCTCCTTGGGAGAAAGAGGAGGCTTTCTATTCAAGTAAAGCGTTGCAATCTCGGAAACCACAGGGGCAGCTCTCCCTGTGCTCTCGGGTCGGGTCGCTGTGAGTCAGAATTGGAATCCACTGGAGGGCAGGGAGTTTGAGTTTGGGGGCAGGCAATTCACTAGAGAGAGAGAGGTGATGAGGAGGGGGAGGGAGGAAAGGAGGGGGTGGGGGGAGAGAGAGAGAGAAGCAGAGGGAGGAGAGAATCTTAGTGGCCAGTGGTACTCCGATTTGGCACCTAACTGCAAGATCAGAAGCCCTGCTGGCATAGGTGTTATGCATTAGCAGTTCGAAACCACCAGCTGCTCCTTGGGAGAAAGAGGAGGCTTTCTTCTCTGGTAAAGATTTGTGGTCTTGGAAACCCACGGGGTGTTCTACCCTGTCCTATGCGGTCGCTATGAGTCAGGATCCACTCATCACAGTGCGGCAGACACCAAACCCCCTACCATCCGTGTTCCTCATTCACTATCCCGGAGAAAGGAGGTCTGGGGTGAGAGGCGGATGAACTCTTCAAGATCTTTTCAAACCCTTTTGCAGTTTGACAATTTGGTTACAAAGAAAGGGCTTGTGGGCCAGGGTGGGTGGAGTTACCTCATTCCAGAGGATGTCTCTGGGGGTCTGTTGTTTTTCTCGTTAAGCCTGCTCCTAATATTCATCTTTTCTTCCCCATGCGTTATTTGGGTTGCAATGCAAAACCCTCGTGGGCGCACCTGGACGCCTCCATCCCTGTCTCCAGAGTTTGCCAGCCGGGAATTCAACTTGACAAAGTCGGGCTAATATGAAAGCGGAAAAGGGCCCCCTGAAGCGGGCAAACCAGAGGATCAGGTCAGAGCCACTGCCTCCCCGAAGTCATCCGGACAGTGACCGAGAGTGGCCCCGCGGCGGGGCGGGGCTAGCAGCGGGTGGCGCGGCCCCGCTCTGCGCTCCCATTGGCCACGCGCCCGCGGGTGCGTGGGGTGAGGCGGGCTCCGGGGACTTCCTCTGGGTGAGGGGTGGGGGCCTGGCCCAGGTACCGGCCCCGCCCCGCTGCCCGCCACTCTCCTGGCTCTGGACTTGTCGTCTAGAATCCGCTACAGCCGTCGCTGTCCTTGCCCCGCTTTTTCCAGGAGGCGCAGAGCTGTGCCCAAGGTAAGGGGGAACCCCGGGTGGCCCCCTCGCCTCGCGCCCCTTTTTCACCTTGTCTGGGGTGGCCCTGGCAGCCCCTGGGGGTGAGAGGGTCTTACTAGTTCTGAACGCGGACAGGCCCCCTCTGACCACCTTCCCAGTCTCTTAGGATTACCTGGGCTCTCCTGGGACGACCCGCGCGGCTCCATCCCGCATCCTTTGAGCTCTCGTGGGAAGCTCCGCGCTTGCTGGGCCCCTCGGAGCGCACCGCCGCGGGCACAGTCGAGGGGCGAAATGGGGAGCCGTTGAGGCTCTTCGAGGGGGCCCGCAGCTCCTGGCCCTGACAAGGTGCTTGCGTGGGGTGGGGGTCTCTGGTGCTAATTAGGCTTCCTGCTGCCTCCACCAGGGGTCGGAGACTGGGTCTGCCCGCGGGAACCGGTGGAGAGGGCATCTGCGCCCCCTGGGGTCTGCTGTCAGGCCTCAGATACAGGCTTTCTCTCCGGCTCCACGCTTACATCCCCATTGCTCTTTGCGCTTCAGTTTCCCCAAATGCGAAACGCACCTACGGGGTTCAGGTGTTGCCAGCGCTGCGACCGACCGGCGCTCAGCTCGCTAGACTCATGGAGAGGGTGGCAGTTCGAACCCACCCAGAGGCTCTGCAGAAGCTAGGCTTGGCGCTTTACCCAGGGAAAAACCTTGGGGGTGGGGGGCAGGGCGGATTCTATGCTGTCCAGGTGTGTGTGTGTGTGTGTGTGTGTGTGTGTGGTCAATCGATTCCAGGACACCAAACAACAACAACAACAACAACAACAACAACAACAACAGGATGTTGGTAATCTCACACCTGCACCCAACCCAGCGGTACTGTAGCTTTGCGAGGGAAAGTGGTGGAGAGCCGGTTTTACTCTGTGAGCTGTACTGCTTGTACCTAGGGGGTGGGAAGGTGGTCGGGCTGAGCCAGGGAGACCTTAGGCGCCAGAAGGTGTGGCCCCACGGTGGAGGCGTCCTAGACTGTGCTGCCCAAAACCAGACTCACTAGCCACCATCGGCCACTGAGCTCCAACGGTGGAACCCCGTTGGAAAGGCGCACTAGCTGGAGAAGTTGGAGTGAAACCGCCCGAGAAACGTCCCTCAGGTTTGCACTCCGAGGCTGGCGCCAGCGGGAACCCAGCCAAGTTAACATTGTCCCTCTCCCAGCCAACCAGGGCTAGGAAGTGGCTGGGCTCCAGGGACACCGGTGGTGGCCGGATGTGGGGCTGGGCGGGGTATTAGCAAGGCAGCCACCTGGTGCACCCCCTCCCTTACCCCTTCCTTCTGCAACAAGCTAGAGGCCAGACCAGCAGGAGTCCGGCTGTGAGGGTTAGGTAGCCAGAGAGGATAGAGGGGACTGTCCCTCCCATGCCTGCCCAGGGTCCCCTACGGGAAGTTGGGAGAGGAAAATCAGGTGACCATTAGTCACCCATAAAGACCTTAACTGGGCATGCTCCAATTCAGGGCCCCTCCCCCAGGCCCCAGCCAGGTGGGCGTTACTCCTGGGGGCCCAAACTAGGCCCAGGCTCATGACCCCACCCAGGTGGCCTTAAATCAGTCAACAGGTCGACCAAGGCCTTCCACCATGCCTCCCCAGCCAGAGGTGTGAAATATCCTGGCAGCGAGAAGGTGGGCTCTTGGACTCCCCGGCTCGTTGTCAGTGGCAGATAGGAGAGGACTCTCTCCTCTCTTTTCACCCTGCTCCTGTGCCCGCACTCTGGCCTCAGGTCACCTCGTGTAGGCGCCCAGTCTCATGAGGTTGCCCGTGTTCCCTTGTGAGCCCCAGCGAGGCGTCTGCACGGCCTGGCACGCTTCCCTGAAATAGCGTGCTCTCTTTTGAGACTCTAACACCTGAAACTTCCCCCGTCCTTCGTAAAGACCCCCTTGGATTACAAATCAGGCTGCAGTGGGAATTCTTTCTCGTGCCAAGCCAAGCCAAGCACCGAGGTATTACCCACTTGAAAGACCCTATCATGAGGGTGCCTGGGACCGAAAGACAAGAGCCCTAGGGAGGCAGCCTCGAGGTTCCCAAAGCGTGGTCACCTTCCACTGGCCGCTGCTGGCACCCCGTGTGTTACAGAGTGGAACTGCCCTCCGTGGGTGACGTTTTCTTAGTGGTCATCTTTAAGGAGTGGCCCTGGTGGTGGCACACGGGTTAGCTGCTAGGCTGGTCTTCCAGGGGGGGGTAGTCGGAGCCCCTCCGAGGGAAAACGGCTTCATTTGACTTTTGCTTCTGTAGTGAGTCGAGTGGCCCAGTGGCTGCTAGCGAATGGGCTGGTGATTGAATCCCCCAGGTGCTGAGGTAGGAAAATGTAGCCGCAGTAAACTCACTGCCCTCCAGTCTATACGGGCTCATAGCGACCCTCTAGGACTGGGGAAAACCACCCGTGAGCTTCCGTGACTGTCATTTTTGACCTGGAGTAGAAAGTTGTCTTCCTCCGCAGGAGTGGCTGGTGGTTCTGAACTGCTGACCTAGCACTTAGCAGCGCACCTCCTAAGGGGCAGTCAGACCAGTGGCAGAGGCTTCTCCTAAACTTGAGGAGGGGGCACACCCTCCAGAATCAACGCAGATCCGCTGGCTTTAGCCCTTGGTGACTCAGCAGTTTGCACTTGGCTGTGAACATGCAAAGTCTGGGGTTCAAATCCACCGGCCGCTCTCCCTCTGGAGAAGGTCACGGTTCGGCAAAGAATCCCAGCCTTGGAAACCCTCTGGGGCGGTTCCACTCTTGCCATCTGGGGTGGCTGAGTTGGAATCCACTGGGCTGCAGGGCGTTTAAGACCAGGTTCCGGCTTCTGACCTGTCCCCCTCAAGGCCCCACCACATCCCCCCATGACACCCCGTCAGAGAACACATCTGGGTGGTTCGAAGTCACCTTGTCGCTATTGCCGGCTTCTCTTAAGGGCGCACTGCGCTGGGGGGCCCTGGAGGCTTTGGGGGTGCCTAGCACACAGCAGACGCTGGCTCAGTGTTAGACATTACAAGAGCAGATGCTCAGAATCTCCCCGCATCCCTCCAGCAGTTGACAGGTGGACTTTCAGGAGATGGGCAGGGACAAGTAGCACTCTGGAGGGGGTGGGGTCAGATGGAAGCCGCCCAGGGGACAGATGGTGGGATGGGTCAGCACCTCAACCTCTGTCAATGTCTCGCTGGGCAGGGCTTTCCCAAGGCCACCTGGTGTCTGGCCTTTACCTGTCTGGCACACCAGTGGGCAAACATTTGCTGAAGCCTTTCCTGGCTTGGGGGTGGAGACTCGGGCTAGGCCCGGGAAGAGCTTGACCTGGAAAGGGGGGTGGGGGGCTCAGGGACAGAATGAGTGGGGGTGGGGGGCACTCCGGTGAGTTTGGGAAGCTGTGCGGATTATCCAGTGTCTCCTTAACTTCCTACCCCAAGGTGGAGGGTGGAGGGCTCGAAAGGCGTGGCACCGAGCTCCACTGTCCCTACGACCCCTAAGTAAATGCTGGTGTGGACGTCATCGCGCACGGTTTAGGGTGCCTTGTGATCCCTCGGCAGATGGGATTGTTTCTAAAGCCTGTTAAATATTTAAACAGCACAGAAATGTTTGCATAGGAACGAAAGAGAGGGCCTGGTGGTGCAATGGTTAATGCCCGCTGCTAACCCTGAAACAGCCCTGGGGCACAGGGGCTAACGTGCCACTCCCCTGACCGTCAAAGGGCTGGCTCCCCTAGCGGCAGGAGAAAGCAATGACAGTCTGCTCCCATCCAATGACCGCGGAGGATGCTCTGGGGCCCCACAGGGTCACTGGGAATCCGGATCAACTCCACACCAACAGGTCTTGAAGAGCTGCTTTTTGCCAGGGAGCCTCTGGTGGTGTTATACACGTGGGGCTCCTAGCCACAAGGGCAGCAGTTCAAAGCCACCAGCTGCTTCTAAGGGAGCAAGATGAGGCTGTCTCCTCCAGTACACAGTTAACAACCTCACAAACCCACCGGGCTGCTGTAACTCTGCCCCAGGGGGTCGCTGTGAGTTGGAATCAGCAGGGAGTGAAAGGTTGGCCCTTCAAACCCGCTGGGAAGGTAGCTCTGTGATTAACTAACTCAAAACTCACAACCATCGAGTTGATTCCGACTCACAGCGATCCTATAGGACTGGCTAGAACTGCCCTTGAGTTGAGAGTTTCCAAGACTGTGGCTCTTTACGGGAACAGAAAGCCTCATTGTTCACCCGAGGAGCGGCTGGTGGTTTCAAACTGCTTATTTTGTGGATCGCAGCCCAACACTTAACCACGATGCCACCAGGGTTCCTCCATCAAGATGACATCACAGCAAACTCTTGAACGTGGCCCTCCTCTGTCCTTCCGGTGGGGTCCCTGGGAGTCGGAATTGACTCCACAGCCACAGGTGTGGTGTTGGGTTCTTGCTAACCTAAAGGTGGGCCCTTCAAGCCCACCTGCTGCTCCGAGAGAGCGAGACTTGGAACTCTGCTCCCATAAACACCAGAGCATAGGAAGCCAGTCCGCGGGGGACAGTCAGTCCCACTCTGCCTACAGGCTGGCCGGGCGTCAGAATGGACAGCGTCCACCACCAGCGAGTCTGTATCTACAGATGTACATGTATGGGTGTGCCTGCATATGTATGTATGTAATGAGTCATTCTTTTCTGCCAGGCCAAGGTAACTACTGCGAACAGTTTACCACCGTAAACCTCTTTGTATTGGGGACTAATGAACACACTTACCTGTCTCCACACCTGTCACACTGTGATGGTTTGTGCTTGGCTGTGTTGTTGAACGTCATGCCAGCCCAGGCTTTCAAATACCCGTGGGGTCACCCCGGGGAGATGGCAGTGCTTCCAGATGGAGACAGGCTAGGAAGAAAGGCCTGGGGGCCTGCTTTTGAAAACTGGCTAACGGGGACTCTGTGGGTGACAACAGAACAGAGAGATGGGTCCCCCAGGCTGGAGGCCACTCAAGAATACACATCAGCCACAGCAATGATCTTGGGAACACCCAGAAGTGTAGAAGATGGGGCAGGGCCGGGCCGAGTGCCGTCCTGCTGTCCATGAGGTCACCAGGAGTCAGATGGATGCATGAGCTAGATGTCAGAGCAATGAGTCCTGAGGCTCAACAGGCCTGGTGGCACACAGGTTAAGTACCCGGCTACTCATTGAGAAGCCAGTGAGTGGTTTGAACCCACCTGGTAGCTCCGCGGAAGAAAGGGCTGGCGATTGGTCTGCTCCCATGAAGATGAGAGCCAAGGAAACCCTATGGGGCACTTGGACTCGGTCAGGTGGGGTCGCCGGGAGTTGGTACTGACTCAGCTGGTACCCACGAGAGACCATGCCCAGCACTCTGGGACAGGGGTCGGCAAATGTTTGAGATGGAAGAGCCAATCCTGTCCCTCCCAGCAAGTTGAAAATCATCCGAGAGCCATACATCTATTTTTACAAATGAAATCACCGTGGTCTGAATCATATCCTTTAAAATGTTTGGAAATGAAACTACGAACATTTTACTTTCATTTTCAATTTTACTTCCGAGCCAGATGTACAAACGGAAGAGCCGCAGCCGTAGTTTGCCGACCCCTGCTCTAGAACATTCCTGCGGTCTGGTTGAGGTGGGTTCCCCTCCCCCCCGGCTCTGTTGAGTTTTAGTGGGATCCTCAACACTGGACCAATCTCACTGCTGTCGAGTCCACGCCTACTCACAGCGACCCTATAGGACAGAGTCGAACTGCCCTGTGGGTTTCTGAGGCTGTGAATCTTTATGGGACTAGATAGCCTCATTTTCCTATCCCTGAGCGGCTGGTGGTTTTAAACAGCTGACCGTGTGGTTAGCAGCCTGTGTTAGTCTGGGTTGCCTAGTGAAACAAATCCAGAGACACTCATATATGTGTGTGAAGAGCTTTATATCAAGAAGTAATTATGCATCAATAAGACATCCCTGCCCAGTCCAAATCAAGTCCATAAGTTCGATATTTAGCAGACAAGTCTGATATTAGCTCTTCAGACTCACGCAGCACATGCAATGATGCCAAATGCAGGAGGATCACAGGCCGGTGAGTGGAAAGTCCTGTGGGTCCAGTGGTACTGGAGGCATCCCCAGGGCTCTGGCTCTTATCAGCGTGGCTCCATGTGGCTTGTCACCAGGAATGTGAAGCACAGTGTTCCCAGAACCCTCATAAAAAGGCCAGGCCCACCAGGAGGTGTCATTCAGGCCGGGACCTGATGGTCAGGCTGGACTCCACCCCTAGAACCAATTTGTCAAATGGACATGGAATTATGTAAGTACCACGCGGCCTGTGGAACTGTAGAGAGCCAACCTCCCAAGGCATCCATTTTTCTCAGGTCTCCTTGTTCAATGCTGTGCATCTTTTTAAAAAAATTTTAAATAGTAATGTTTTAATTAAGTTTTTAAAAAATCATTTTATTGGGGGCTCCTACAACTCTTATCACAATCCATCCATTGTGTCAAGCACATTTGTACATTTGTTGCCATCATCATTCTCAAACCATTTTCTTTCTTCTTCAGCCCTTGGTATCAGTTCATTTTTTACCCTCCCTCATGAACCCTTGATAATTTATAATTTTTTTTCATGTCTTACACTGACCGATGTCTCCCTTCACCCACTTCTCTGTTGTTCATCACTGTGATCGGTTCCCGCTTTCTCCCCTCACCTTCCCCTTCCCCTCCTGGTATGGCTACTCTCAATATTGGTCCTGAGGGCCTCATCTGTCCTGGATTCCCTGTGTTTCCAGCTCTTACCTGTACCCGTATGCATGCGCCGTGTTAGTCAGGTTTGCAAAGGGGAATTGGGATTATGATAGAATGCTGTGTATCTTTCAAGTGCCTATGTGGGCACTGAAAGACCGTGGCTTCAGGCAAGTGCCCCTTAGTCCTCAAAGTGATGTCCTGCTCTTCGACACTTTAAAGAGGTCTTGGAGGGAGCGCAGGACCTGAATGTGAGGAGACAACTCATTTTAAAGGCCATTTAATTGGGGGTGGGTAGGAGAATAAAAGAAAATGTCCTAAAACGGAGTGTGGTAATGATTGTACTACTCTTCTTGGTACCAATGAACGGTTGCATGAGATGATATGTGGATTATGTGCAGATAAAACTGTTTTTAAAAAGGTCTTGTGTGGTAGATTTACCTGGTGCAATGCATCATTTGATCTCTTGACTGCGGCTGACATGGCGTGATATTCCGGAATGGCAAGTAATCTGCTATCTGGCCAACCAAGTGGATACATAGTAAACTTAACCATCAGACAGGTCAACTGGGTAAATGGGAAGGTGTCTGATGGCTCCCACGGTCCTTCTCTCTTCAGGGAAGATGCCTCACGAGGCAGATGTGGGTTCAAGAGCAGTGGACCCTGCAGCTGGCCCAGCGTGCCTGGCATCCAACTCTCTGTCTGGTGAATCCACACAGGCCACCCCACCTGCCAGGTGAGTGTCCCCTCCTCCCTGCTTCCAGTGTGGGCACCTGGCTTCTTTCCCATATTTGCCTTTCGCCTCAGTGCATTTTGGGGGGAGCCCTTGGCTGTGGGGTGTGTCTCAGTCTGAGTTCCCTAGAGGCACAAAAACTCAGGAACACATACAGTAACACCTGCAGAAGCTGAGACCTGGGTATGACGGAAATCTGCCTAGGGAAACAGTGTCAGATAGTTTGCTTCTACAGAGAGGGATAGAAACATGGTCAGACTGCACCCTGTCAGAGTGGCACCCAGAAACACAGGCAGTGCCAGCAAGCCCCAGCTCCCACAGGCTTTACTGTCTGCATAAATAGATACAGAGGTCTATAAAGAGATTTTTGACAAGGAAATACATTTCCCATTGGGCTGGGAAAATCCCAAAGCTGTAGGTCAGGCGGCCGGCTGGAGGCTTCCGCAGGCATATGTTCCAAGAACTGGCGGTCGGTGATGAACGTGCAGGAGATCTAGAGAGTGAACTTTGCCTGGACAACTATCGATATACTGGGTACAGGCCACGCCTCCCTTTGCCAGGGATAGGCTGCTCCCATGAGATCGCAGCACCGAAAGTGATTCCATTCTATTACATTGTGGAAGAGCAACCGGCCCAGAGCCCGCCAAACTGCTGAGGACCACAGCCATGCCCAATGGACACACATCGGCCAGCGCATGGGGCTGGGAGTGGGACGGCCCCAGGCCAGCCAGAAAGACCCGATGTACGCCCAGGCCTGGGGTGGAAAGACGCGTGACTCCCGCTGAGAAGAGGCGGGCGCACCTCAGAGTTGGCCCCTAAGGAGCAAGTCTCAAGTCCTGCAGTTGGAAGGAGGTGGGCGTGGACATCCCAGCCCTGTCCACCTCAGCCCTGCTGCACTCATGCAGGATGGGGGGGTGGGCAGTGGAGGGGGGGGCGGTTACGTAGGTTCTACCTGAGTGGATTTACTTCTGGGGGAGAGAGACCGTGAGTGGGTGTGAGACGGTGGATCTTCATGACTACGACTGCCGTAGCAAACTCCCTCACAGCGAGGGAAGCTTTGAGCACAAGGACTGGTCTTCTCGCACAGCTGGAAGGGGCCCTCGCTGGGAGGGTCACTCTCTGTGACCCTCCTCCAGCTCGCGGGTGTTGGCCGGCACCCCTCTGCTGGTTTGTGGGGGCTCACTTGGCTTCTTGTTGGCCTTCTCTCCCCATGTCTCTGCGTCTGTGTGCTGTTGGGAAATATTTGCTCAGTGCCAACAAATGCTCCTGCTTCCTCTGCCTCTCCACGCCTCGCGGCCCCATGGGACAGAGGACCCCGCAGGGCGGTCCAGTGGCCCCGTTGGCTTTTCGGGGCTTTGATCTTTATGGAATCAGAGCCAGGTCTTTCTCCCAAAGGAACACTGGGTGGGTTGGATGCGCAGAACTGCCTTTCAGTTGGCGGCTGAGCGCTTAACCCTGGCCACCACTTTATTCTGTTCTTTATGGGATTTGGGAAGTGATTAGGGTTAGGGCTCCCCCCCACAACTTTAGTAAAACCCTATTTCCATACAGCATCTCATCCACAGGTACCTGGGCCAGGATACCAATGCAGAGCATTGGGGACATGATTCAATCCACAACAGTGCATGTGTGTGTGTGATGTGTGTATGTGTGACTGTGTATATATGTATATAACGGCATGTCTTTGTGAGACTAAGGGGCCCTGGTGGCATAATGGGTTAAGCACTGGCTTGCTAAATAAAAGCTCACTGGTTCAAACCTACCAGCTGCTCCGAGGGAGAACGATGAAGCTGTCTGCTCCTCTAAAGACTGAGCGTCTTGGAAACCCTGAGG